GTGAGCTAGCTACACACCACCCCAGAGTGAGCTAGCTACACACCAGCCCAGGGTGAACTAGCTACACACCAGCCCAGGGTGAACTAGCTATGTGAGTCAAGAGAAACCCTAAGGTACAATCTGGCCCCAGGACTGGACTGCACTTGCCCTCCTCCACCACCACTTTCATGATATGAATCTCTCGGAATATACACGTGCATCACTGCCGTTGTTTCTCTAGCCAACGAGCCTCACACACGGGATGTGAACCTGGCTCTCTGTGAAAATCCTCTGGCCTACGTTTATCTAACTGCAGGTGTGCAGTGTGTGGAATAAATGTAATTTGAACGTGCTCATCCTCCTCCCGACAGGCTGGAGCACAGCCGCCAAACATCTTTCATGAAGAGCCGAGCGACCGCAGCACTGTGTGTGCATGTTGTGCGGTCACCTGTACACGGGTGGTGTGTGAGTGTTCATGGGTGCACAGGTGTGTGTGTGTGAGTGTCCACATGCACATAGGTCTGCCTGCCACGTGGGCCTGCCTTTCTGCAGATCTGGGGTTGGGGGGTGTGATCCGCAGGGTCTGTGGCAGGCACGGAGGTAACACACAGCCAGCTGACAAAGGGAGCTTTTGTTTGGATGCCACTCGCATCAGGACAAACTCCATAACTGCATGCCGAGAAAGCGCAGGAGCCAGCCTGCGAGCGGTTGTGGACCAGTCCCCACTGCCGCATCGGGTCTCCTGGACTCTGCTTTCTCACACAGTGTCTCAGTGACCTGCCCCATCTCTTATCACATGACCCAATAGGAATGTCATTATCCATTCGGGCCAACAGCTGGCGGGCAGAGCGTGGTTGGAAATGGCAGTCGCTCCAGCCTGCAACAGAGCATCCTGCTGCGTGCATGGTGGGTGGGAAGTGGGTGGGGTGGGGCGTGGGGAGCCAGTGGCAGCTGGCCCAGCCCCCTCGGCGCCAGCCAGCCCTGCGATTGGGTGGACCCCTCTGCACACACGGGGTGGCCGTCTGAAGACTGGAGTGTAAATCAAATGCGAGGTGACATCCCATTGTTATCAGAAGCACAGCTCACGATCCACATCCAAGCAGCCAGCCAGGAGGAAGAATTCACGTCATCTTATCCTTCCTCTGAAATAAATCTGAAAGGTACTCTTGTGTCTGGAAGCTGGGCCACGGAGGACTCCCCAGAAACAGGAGCTTGTGAAAACGGAGGGGCTCGGGGTCCAGAGTGCTGCATCTGTGCGCCCCCCTTCCCCCCCAAACCTGAGAGGCGCAGCGATGTCTGGGAGTGATGGCTCTGCGGCCGTCACACGTGACCCGCCCGCGTGCACAGACTCCTGCACTGGGGCTCAGGAGACTGCCAGCGTGTGGGGTTCAGAGAGGGCAGCGGTGGGCACGCAGCGTCCACAGGGGGCTACTGAGAACAAAGCAAGGCCACTTCCTCCTTGCGTCCAGCTTGACTTCGAGGAGGGAGGCGAGCTGCCCTGCACTTGACAGAGGGCTTCGCATCCCATCAGACGACTTACTAGTGAGATGGTGTCCGGCTGAGGGTGTATTTAGGTCATGCACAGTGGGCTGGAGAGCCAGAGTGATGGGTGGCTCGGGGGCCACCTCAGGTGGCCCTGGGCTTAGTCCTGTCGGCACAGAGGCCGGCTGGCAGTTACCAGTTGCCTCTGAGTCGATTCTGACTGAGGAAACCCCACACCGTGGGCATCAGGGTTAGACTGTGCTGGTCCCCAAGGACTGCTCTTATGGAAGGAGACCACCAGGCCTTTCTTCGGAGGAGCCTGTGGGTCGGCGCGGACTCCCCGCTTCTGACAAGCAGCAGCAAAGAGGCGCTCTCGGTTCCATCCAGGGTCTCCCTGTGCGAAGCTCCCCTATGCTGGGGAAGGAGCCGGAGTGTAAGTGGAACCCAGCACACATGGGGCTCCTGGCTGGCTGCGGCAGGGTGCTTGCAGTCCCTGCATCGTGAGCGGACAGACGTGTGTCCGCCTGTCAGCCAAACCCGCACATCAGTCAGCACAGCGAGGGACAGTTGATACGTAAGGCCAGTTAGCCAAATGTTTGTCTTCGGACACAGAGTGTACCTTTCTATGCCCTGAAAATACGCAAAACTAAAAGCAAATTCAAGAAACACTTCCAAGTAGCCTAAAAACATTTGTTAAACGTCCGAATACAGCAAGAGTAATGACAGAGTCTCAGAAACCCCCAGGGGCAGGTCTACCCTGCCCTATAGGGTCGCTCTGAGCCGGAGGGGACTCAATGACAGGGAGTTTGGGTTTGGGTTCAACTGTCAAACCACTGAGAACCCTGTCCAGCCCCGTTGGCACAAAACCTAACGACTGCACTGTGCTTCCTCTCTCCCTGGTAAGGATTAGAGGTGGGCAGAGCCAGGGGCTGGGCGGCTTCTTGTCAACCAGCTGTTACCACCAATGGGGAGGCCTGGACAAAGAATCACTCCCCCCCCCCACTCCCACCCCCACACAGACCTCAGAGCTCATTCTACAATTGAAGTGTTCTCCACCAACAGTGTAGAGGAATTCAGAGTCAAGCTGCAGACAGAGGGCGACTGGGTTAACTCCAGTAGGTGGGCTTCATGAGTGGACCAGAGAGACACGGTGGCAATTGCATCCTCTCCTGTCAACTGGAGCTGAGGGGTGGACTCTAGCCTGTCCATCAGTCATAGCCAATGAGACCTCTGTGTGGGCATGGGCTTCTCCCGAGGATTTTGGGAACTCGTGTCTTCCTCCCTGGAGGTGGGGCACAGACTTGCTCTGCTTCACATTCCTGTTGACATGTCACATGGAGCTATGCTGACGGAGCCACAGTCTCAGAACTGGAGGAGCCACATGGAGACCTGTGCCTAGGTTGAGATGCTTCCACCACCACTGGATCCACAAGACTTTGCACCCACCACCCTGTGATCTTCCTGCATTTTGCATCATAGGCATGTGACTGTGTGAGTCTAAAGAAGGATTTTTGGACTACAGTAGTATTGGACGTAGGGACTTGATCTGTATTGATTGGGCTGGCATGTTTTCTTAATGTACAGTGACTCTTTGATACAAAGCTCTTTCTTATACACATATGAGTGTCCCTGGACTTGCTTCTATGCCATCCTCTGACCAGTCCTCGACACATCGTGCTGGTGTTGGGTACCACCGAGTTGATTCTGACTCACAGTGACTCCCTGTGGCAGTGTAAAGCAGGTGTCCCGTGGACTTCCCCAGCCTATGCCGGGGTGCATTGTGCTAGGTCTCTCTCCCCCACAAGCTCCTGGGTAGACTTGAACACCAACCTTCTGGTTAGCAGGCTAAGGCTTAACCATTTGAACCACCAAGTCTCCTTGAGGTGGTCAAAATGATGTCTGTGTTCCTTCAGACATACCTTTACGCCGTCCTTGCTGCTAAGGAGCATTCTGGCCATACGTCTTCCAAGACCGTTGCTTCTTCTTTTGGTAGTGCACGGTACTTTCAATATGCTTCCCGGTACCGGCACCATAATTCAACGCCTCAGTTCTTCTTCGGTCTTCCGTACTCAGTGTCCAACTCCCGCACGCATGTGAGGGGATTAAAAACACCCTGGCTTGAGTTAGGCTCGCCTTAGTATGCTCAGCGGCATCTGTGGTTTGTTTTGTAAACCCTTTTGAAGAGATCTCGGCAGTGGACTTGCCCCATGCAACATGTCGCTTGATTTCTGGACTGCTGCTTCCATGAGCATTGACTTTGGATCCCAGTCAAAGACACCCTTGAGCACGGGGATCGCGGTGCTGCCTGGTGCTGCGGGAGCGGAGCGGGCTTGTTTTCTTTACGTGGAGCTGTAACCCATACTGGAGGCTGTACCATCTTTGGCCTTCAGCAGTAAGTGCTTTTAATTCTCCTTGCTTTCAGCAAGTAAGGTTGTGTTGTCTGCAGGACGCAGGCTGTAAATGAGCCTTCCTCCCATCCTGACGCCTCTTTCTTCACGCAGCCCAGCTTCGTGGGTTATTTGTTAAGCACACAGATGGAAGAAGTACGATGCAAAGATGCAACCCTAACATACACCTTCCCTGATTTGAAACCACACCGTGCTCCCTTGCTCTATTCTACCTCCTGTCTCTTGGTCCACACACAGGTTCCTCATGCACACAATGAAGTGTTCTGGAATTCCCACCCTTCTCAGGCTGATGACCAACACCGTGGAACGCTTTTGCATAGGCAACAAAAAACGAGGAAACCTCCTCTTTCTGGTATTCTCTGCTTTCAACCAAGAACCATTTGATGTCAGCAATCAGATCCCTCATTCCACAGAAAGCCTCATCTGTCTCCATCCACGTGGATAGTTGCCATTTACGCTGGGAAAGGTATTTGCGATGAAGAAGTCGTTGGTCTTGCAAAATTCTACTATGTGATCTCCAGAGTCATTTCTGTCACCAAGGCCATGTTTTCCAGCTACGATCCTTTCTCTTTATTCCCAGCTGTTGCATTCCAATCGCGCGTAATCTTTACGGTCTCTCCATTGTACGTTTGATCAATTTCAAACTGAAAAAAGTGGGTAAAATTCTTCCATTTCTTTAGTGGTTGGTGGGGAAAATTTTTTTTTGGTGGGGAAATTTGGATAAGAGTTGTAGCCGTTGCTCTTCTCTGTAGGCATATAGCTGCTACCCTATCACACACAGCATTCTCTTGAAATAGAGATCAATCTTCATGCATGGTGGGGTTTTATTACGGCTTCTCATTTTCTTAGATTCATATTTCATACAGTCCATCTTCTGATTTTGAATAGACACACGCAGCTATCTCTTCTCATTTGCAGTTGTGTTCCACTAGTGAACCACGGTTCTGAACGCTTTGCTCCATCCGCATCATGGAGGCAGATGCTTCTTCGAGGAGGCGGCTCTGCCCCCGTTGTATTTTGAGTGCCTGCCGACGCGAGGAGCAGGTCCTCTGGCACTGTCTCACACAAGGTTCCACTGACCTACATAGGATTTTCAGTGGCTGATCTTTCAGAGATGGGCTGCTTCTTCCGTCTTCTTAGTCTTGTCGTAGCCCGGAAGCTCCACGGAACCCAGGTTCACCCCGGGTGGCCCGCCTGGTATTTGAAAGGTGGTGGGCTGCACTGAAGACAGGGTTCTCCCACAGAGAAGAGACCCATTGTCTCATCTCCCCTACCCTCATGCCCCAACAGACCTGACGTCCCCTGACAGAGGTCAGGCAGCCGTGGAACCCCACGTGGAAACCACGAGTCTGAGAGAGAAGCCACGGATGTTCTGGGGCCGGTTTCGAACCGTGGCTCTGCTGCTTACTAGCTGTTTCCTCATCTGTAGATGGGCTTGGTGGTCACAGTGCTCACCACAGAGAGATGTGGTGAAGAGCAGATGACTTTTAAGTGCTGACCCGATAGATAAGAAGTCTGGACATGGGAGCTGGCACTGGAAGCTGAGATGGGTAGAGAGGAAGCTCAGGGACAAGGGGTTATCCCTGCAAAGTGACTCACCCGCCAGCCAAGCCCAGGAAGAAAGAGAACTTCCTAAGGGTTCAGGTATGCACAGTTCAGGCTGCGGGGGAAACGGGGCGCAGTAAGAACCAGTTGCGTCACGCGTCGCGTGCATATTTAAGTGCACCGCTAAAAGCCACCAACATACAACCAAGTGGAGGTGGTGGTGGGGTGGGAGGGGAGACCAGTTGAGCAAGAAGAATATACAAGATCAAGGCCTGGACCAAGTGGCCGTTTCACGTGTCCCCATCTGGTGACGGCCCATTCTTGTCTGAGAGTGAGAACATGCTAACAAACGCTTTGCCTACGTTCACTTGTCTTTGCGGAGCTGCTGTGAGGATTCTTCCCACACGGAGAAGGACTTGAGGAAGAGCCGCTCATAGCCCGAGAAACTCGGGCTCTGCCCAAATGCCACGGGCTTCTGGGGAACTCCAGCCCAACCTCACCGAAGATGGGCAAGGGCACTGGTTTCTGAACGATCCGATTGGACACTCGGTTTCCTTCCTGAAGACTTGGAGGCATTACACCCAAACCACGGGCAGGAGCGTGGTCATTGAAGCCAATCGCTTGGCGGCTCATGGTGATCTCATGTCCTCTTCACGATGGTCGAGACGCCCAAGACTGCTGCTGGGAGTGTCCCAGCCTAGGGGGCTCAGCTTTCAGCAGGACAGGAGGCATGGCTCAGAAGGAGACCTTGCTTGCTCATCCGTCTCAGTCTGGAAGTTCCGCTGGGTGAGTGCAAGGGTGACCCTGCTGGGATTCAAGCTTCTAGCGGTGGGCCGTCCCACTGGCTAGCTTCCCCAAATGCTGGACTGAAGGCAGGTTTCTGCGTGCTGGAACGGCCAACGCGGGGGGACAGCCGAGCCCAGGCCACCTGCTCTGGGGCTGCCTCCAGCCAAAGTGACCCCTTCACCACCTCTGGCCAGAAGAAGAGCTCGTGTTGATACAGAATCCAGAACAGCAGACTCCAAAGGCCGGCACCACAGCGGAGGGAGCGAGCCCCACTCCCTGCACCACCCCACTGCTCCACAGGAGCCTCCCAGTCAGGACCCAGATGGAGGAGCTGGCAGGGAGGCGGGAGAAACCCCAGGTAACACCTCTGATGGGAAAGGTGGACTTTGGAGGGAAGAGCGTGCCAGGACCCTGCTCCTCTGGTTTGCTATAAGAGTTGAGCTGGGCACACTGCCCTTGAGCACCCCACCCCCCTGGGGGTGCTGCCAGGCCCTGTCCTCTCATTCATCCTTGCCTTCTGTCACCCAAAGCCACCACTTCCTGTGGTAGTGACATAATGGCCTGTCAACTTGAAGATATAGATGTGAAAGGGTGGAGGTTAGCCTGTCAATCAGGCCACAGCCTGAAGGTACCTCCCTGTGGGCATGACCTTTTCACAAGGAGGATCCTGGGAACTTTCCCTCTCTCTCTCTGCTTCCCCTTTCTATTGGGAGCCATGCAGCGGAGACCTGCCAGAGCCCTGTAGATGCATCCACTGCCATTGGATCCACAAGACTTTGCACCCACCAGCCTGTGACCTCCCTGCATTTTGCATCATTGCGTGTGGCCGTGTGAGTCTGAAGAGGGACTTGTGGACTAGTATCAGACTTATGGACTTGATCTGGACTGGGCTGGGCTGTTTGCTCGATATCTAATTCCTTCTTTATATAAAGCTCTCTCATACATTTTTGGGTGCCTCTGGATCTGTTTCTCTAGTGCACCTGGCCTCACAGACTTCCCTAAGACCTGACTGCAAGCTCACCTTCTTGGAAGCCCTTCTCAGTTCCTTACAATACAAGCATGGCTCTCCCAAGAGCTCCTTGCAAGCTTGTTGGAAATGCAATGCCCAGACCTGGAGCCTGCATTTCACAAGGCCCCCAGGAGCCCATGAGACCTACAAGCGTGTCTCAGGTTTCTCCTGGGTGCCCCAGTGCGACCACAGTGTGCCTTGGGCCATGCAGGAGGGCCAGAAGCACTGTGGGACCTATGACCATGATCCCTGTAATGAGGGGAGGCTGGTGAAAGGAAGCCCCTCTGAGATGGCCTTCGGGGCTTTGGAGACATGTGGGGTGGGCACAGACCGGGTGAATCCACGCACAGGTTGCCCACCACAGGTGGGAGAGAAGAAACCTGTTCCTCAAGGGACAAGGGCCCGCCTTCCTGACGTGCCTCACCTCGCTCAGCTTCTCTGGACTGAAAGCAGGAGTCAGGACCCCTCGGACCTCCTCCCACCTCTTGTCACGTAGGAACAGGATGCTGTCAGCTACCAGCTTAGACTCCAAGCCCGGTGCCTGATGGGAAGACACAGAAAGAGAGAGAAAGAATTAGGCTATGAAGTCTCTTTGGGGTGGGTGGGTGGGCTGGAGGGGCCAGTCCAGGGTCTCAGTAAACACCACAGCTCATGTCCACCGGTGAGCACCACGGGCCAGCACTTAGGATGTGGAAGACCATGAAGCCTTCTGGGGAGTAGTCTTCCGGTCCAAGGCTGAGGGCCAGAGGCCACGTCACTGTCTGTGTGTTGCCCTCTGCTAATAAAGGCCACCCTGAGCCGTCCCGATGGATGGCATGCGGGCCCTTGGCCTGAGTTCTCAAGAGTTCTCTTTTGTGGCATGGTGTGTGTGTGTGTGTGTGTGTGTGTGTGTGTGTGTGTGTGTGTTTCATTAGTTGGGCCAGGAGATGACAGAATCATGCGTCTGTGTCTGTGTGCGTGTGTGTTTGAGTGGGGAGGGGGAAAGTAAGGTGAAGGGAGACAGGAGCGTGACAAAGGAGAGTGGCAGAGCAGGCCCTGTAGAGCTGCTTCCCTGAGAACTCCTGTCGGATACGTCTGTGTCCTTTCATTCCGTCCCTCGTGCCTGGTTCTCACTACACACACACACACACACACGTGTGTGTGTGTGAGCCGAGCCTGGAAGTCTACGGAGGAGTTAGTCTCCTGGGCCTCCCTGGGCCTCTCCCAAACCAGCCATTCCCACGAAGCTGTCTAAGAGGGGTCCCCCTCCCACCGGCTGGTGCACCCCAGTTCCGTGGCTGCCGGGTGGGGGAGCTGGGAGGACCGACACTCTCCAGAACCACGTGTGATGCTCAGTCCATGTTATCTCTTGTCACTGTTTTAATTATCCTTGAAACATCAAATCAGCCATCACCATTAAAAAGCCTGGTAACAATTCCTCTATAAAGGAACGTGCTCATTTTCTGATAAAATATGAGCAGGCAGAACAAGGTGTAATGCCCAGCTACAGAGCCTGGGGGAGTGTGTCTAATTACACTAGGTGCCACGTGGCTGGGCTGGCTGCCTGCAGGGGTCTCCCTGTCCTTCTCCATTTAGAATTCTACAGGCCGCCAGGCCACTACTGTACTGTGGTTTTGCAGCATTTTTGGAAAATAATATATTGGCTTGTGTCCTTGAATCCAAGGCAGAAACTCCATGTGTTAGTCCAGGTAGACTAGAGAAACAAACCCAGGGAGACTCATATATGTATAGGAAAAGGGTTTATGTCAAAGAGTAATTATATATATTAGATAACAACCCAGCCCAGTCCAGATCAAGACCATAAGTCTGATATTAGCCTATATGTCCTATACCAGTCTATAAATTCCTCTTCAGACTCATGCAACATATGCAATGATGCCGAATGCAAGAAGATCACAGGCCAGTGGGTGGAAAGTCCTGTGGATCCAGTGGCTGTGGAAGCATCTCCAGGGCTCTGGCTGCCATCAGTGTGGCTCCATATGGCTTGTCAACAGGAAGGTGAAGCCGAGAGAGGGTGGGTCCAGCCTCCAAGGAGCCATTTATCTCCTTACCGCCTCCAAACGAGGTCACCTAGCTGCGACCTGATGGACGGCTAGACTCCACCCCTTCACTCTTAGTACCCTCAAGTTGACAGGAGATTATGTAACTACCACACCCTGCATAAAGCCCATTGACGTATCCTATGCCGCCCTCCGTGTGACCAGGCCATTCATCGCACAAGAAGCCAATGTGTGACATGGCTCTGAGAAGACCCAGAAGAACTAGAGACCAGGGTCAAGAGTGGCCGGCCTTGGTGGCTTCATAGGCAGACCCACAGTGTCTTTGTCTTGAGGGTCAAGTGTCAGGGCTGCCCTTGAACCTGCTCTGTTGCCCACCTGCTCTTGGCAGTCCCACTGGAGGTCCACTCGCCACTGCAGAGCCATCAGGACGTGGAGGCCACCTTGAACAATGCCATTTAAGAAGGCCTGTGGGTTTGAGGCTGTTGGCTGGAAGGGGGCACCCTGGGGGAGCAGGTGGTGCTCCGTGAGCAGGCACCGCACAGAGTCCCCGGGAGAGAGAATTGAGGTCGCGGAGAGGGCTGAAGGAGGGGTCAGTCCAATCGTGGAAGGTACACAGGAGACCCATAGCTCATCTACAGGTGAACGTCCCAGTGGCTGGAAGTGAGGCTTACTCAAGGTGAAGCCGGCCGCCCATGATGAGTCTCCACCAGAGGAGAAGGGACTCGTGGGAATGCTCCCAGAGAGGCCCAAGCACCAAGTAGGCCCAAGCTGGAGAACTTGTGGCGCTCCCTGCCTCTGCTCCTCCCTGGCTGTCGAGGGGTAAGTGCCTTGAGGTCCGAGGGCCCTGCTCCCCAGAGGAAAGAGGCACAGTGCTCGCACAGGCAATGGGGCAGGGCGGCAGGGGTCTTGGAGGGAGGCCCAGGGACAGAGCTTTCCTAATGCCTGTCAGCCCAGCGGTGCACCGGTGTCTCCTGGCGCTACCTGTCAGCCCAGCAGTGCACCGGTGTCCCAGAGAATGGTGTCGCCTGGCCCTCTCCGGCCAGGACCTCCCATGTAGCTCCCGACCAGCCCCGAGAGGCGAGAGGCGGGCAGTGGCTGGAGGAATGGAGGACAAGGGGACGGAGCGGTGGGTGGACAGAGGAAAGACAAGACAAAAAGGGCAAAGGGGAACTAGACCGGTAAACGCTGTGTCTCACGCAGGAAGGTGATGTTATTGTCAGATGGGTGTGTGGGGTGCCTGGTGCGTGTGCATGCGTGTATATAAGGCATGTGTGTGTGTGGGATGCAGGGTGTGTGTGCTATGGTGTCTCTGGAACCTGTGGTGTGCGGGGCACGGGTGCACATGTTGGTGTAAGTGTGTGGTGTATGGAGTGTATGTGCACATGTGTGTATAGTATAGAGTGTGTGTGCTCACATGTGTATAATGTGGTATGCGGGGGGTGTCTGGTATGTCTGGTGTATGGGGTGTGTATACACATTTGTGTGTGTGTGTGTGGTGTATGTGATATGTAGGGTGTGTGTTATGGTGTCTCTGGTGTATGAGGTGTGTGTATCAGGTATGTAGTGTACGTGCTCTGTGGGGGTATGTGTGATGGTATAGGTGGTATGTGTGCACATGTTTGTGTCAGAGTGTGTGGTATGGTGTGTGGCATGGGCGGTGTGTGTCAGGTAGACAGTGTACATTATGGTATATGGCATGGGGGTGTTATATTGTGCATGTGCACATGTGTGTATGGTGTGTGGTATGTGGTATACGGTATGTGGGTGCATAGGTGTGTTGCATCTGTGTCAAAATGTGGTCTCAATAAAAAAAAAGTCCTTAAACACCTCATTCCAATGCAAAATATACATCAGGAGTGTGCACTCACAGGGCTCTGCTGGGCCCGCCGGTTCCCGCTGGCCCTGGCTGCCCGGCTCCCGGCATCCCTCACGTGTGCCCTCCATGTTGGAGTTTGGGCTCCTTCTAAGCCCTGCCCCCCTCGTGCTTCTCCTTGTGTAAACCTCACTGGGTGTGTAAGGCCTGGTGTGCTCTGACCAATCCCCCCCGCACTTCCGACATGGCCCAAAGGCTGACCGTGGCAGGCAAGGACCCCGGCTGGGGCTGTGGCACTTCGTGGCCGGAGGCCTACAGGCTCCGCTCTGAGTGGACTTGTTTGCTCTCAGACCGTGAGCACTTCCTGAGCACCTACTGCGTGGGGTCTGTCAGGAGGCAACTTGGTGTGCGGCGCACAGCTAGCCAAGGGCGTCTGGCGCGAATTGGGGAACACGTGGGTCATTTTCCAGTCAGCCCCGACAGAGCAGCGCAGCAGCATTTCCCTGAGACAGACAGACAGACTGGCTGCCCTCGCCAATGAAAAGCCCTTAAGATAGGGCTGACTTCCTCAGTGGCACAGCGAAGCACAGACCTTAAACTCCGAAGAACTGCCAAGTCCGGCAGAGCCATGACGCCCAGGAAATCGGCACGTGTTTACGGTGGGCTAGGAGTCCCTGGTGGTGCACAGGCAAACCCACGGGTTGTGAACCGGCTGCTAACCAAAAGGCTGTCTGCTGGTGTCCACAGAGCCCTGCAGCCAGCCCCCGGAACATCCCCAACTGAAAATCCTAGGGAGGCAGACACCATCCTGCTCTGATGAGAGTTGGGTTAGCAGGAGTGGGGTGTGCTCAATGGCACACGCTAATGCAGTGGTTCTCAACGTTCCTCATGCCGTGACCCTTTAACACAGTTCCTCATGTGTGGTGACAATCGTACAATTATTTTTGTTGCTATTTCATAACTATAATCTTGCGACTGTTATGAATCGGGCGACACTTGTGGAAGGCTCATTCGACCTCCAAAGGGGGCTGTGACTCACAGGTTGAGAACCACTGCACAAATGGACACTATGGGCTGAACCAGTGATTCTCAACTGGCCTAGGACGGCCTCAAAGAAGCACCAAGCCTGCCCGCAGCTCTGCGGAGTGGATGCCACGAGTGAGCATGCCCCTGGGAAGGGACAGGATCTGAGGCCACAGGCAAAGAGCTAATGTGCACACCAGGACAGGACAACTCATGGACTCGTGCTCTGCATGGCCCCTGGATGCCCAGGCAGGGCGGCCACCCTGGGACAATGGCCGTGGAGTTGATTCCATCCCATAGAGACTGGATGGGTGTCAGAGCAGGACAGAGCTTCCCAGAATTGTCGATGGCTGCAGCCTTTGGGGAGTAGAGCGCCAGGTCTTTCTCCACACTCGGACGCCCCTGGGGTGGATTCACACCTCCAGACTCGTGGCTAATAGCCCGGCGCTCAACCGTTCGTGCGCCACCCACCAAAGAGGAAAACCACACCCACTGCCGTCAGGTAGATTGGAAGGCATCACGACCATCTAGGACTGTTCCCGAGGGTTTCTGCAATGGCCGATCTTTATAAGACCAGACACCCTGACCTTTCTCTCCCAGAGCAACTGGTGGATTTGAACCGCTGACTTCGAGGTGAGGTTAGCCGTCCACCATGTCACCCACTCCGACACCCAAATCAAACCAAACTCACTGCCCTAGTCGATT